TGTCGGCCGGGGAGGGGCGGGACTCGGGAACGCGCTCGGAGGCACCCAGACAACGACCGACCCGGGGGGGGCGCGCTCTCCTGCCTGCCTTTGCTCCTTCTCCCACCACCGCCTCCTCCTCCTCTTCCGACTGCCGCCCGCACAGCAGGGCTTGCTGCTGCCTTCGGGGCCGCCGCGCTCCTCCGGCTGAGCAAGCCCGCAGGTTTCTCTCCTGGCCCAGCCCAGCTGGGCCACAGTCGCCGCGCCTACACATCCCGCGCGGAAAGGGGGCGAGGAAGAGCAGTGGCTGCAGAGCCTGCTGCCGCCTCCCACAGAGCCTTCCGGATTCCCCCGCCCTTCGAGGCGCGGGGGGGCTGCGTGGCCTACTTTCCAAGCTCCTGGCCTTAACATGGTGAGCGAGCGATGTGGGACCTGCATCGAATGCTTTGCTATGGGGCCCCTCGGCCCGGCCCTGCTGTCTACCTTTCTTTCCCCACCGGCCCACCCACTCACCCTACCTTTCTAGGGGCCCATTGTCTCCGGTCTCCGGCCACAATGGGCTTTGCTCCCTAGTTATGAACATAAGTCTAGAACTGTTACCGGAAACGTACTTGCTGAACATTATCCCAGATGGATATAATCAAAAAGATATTTATTTGCTAACTTACATTCTCACGGCAGCCAGAATTCTAATAGCTAAGCACTGGAAGTCTGAAAGTATACCTCTAAGAGATGAACTGGCAGAAAAACTGTATGAAATTGCAGAAATGGACAAGCTTAACACTATCTTACAAGGGAAAGATGATTTAATTTTTCAAAATAGATGGTCTAGAGTATATAAGTGGTTTCGAAAGAAAATGTAATGTACACTCCAAAGAATGAAACACTCCAAGTCTTCTAATCCTTATGTTCTGTAAATGTGTAAAACTTATAAATATTATAAAAAAAGAAAAGAAAAGTTGTGCCTGTGTCCAGAGAGCAGTTTGTGTTAACAGGGCACTCTCTTTAGGTTCAAAGATGAATGCGAGATCCTGGAAAGCTGCCAGAAGATTGCTGGAACAAATCCCAACTCGTAAAGAGGTAGCAGTCAAAATGAAGCCAAAGGCAGGGAAAGCCCAGGATCCCTACTTCTTACACAGGTTCAGGATGTGGCTCCAGAGTGCCGGGGAGCAGGGGAGCTCCAGAGCCCACTTTGAGGGCCTTCTAAGGAACAGATCGCCACGTGGTTGGAAACGATGCAGCGGCTGCCCCCTTACCCTCCCCTTCTGTGGCCCCGGAAGGCAATTCCTGCTGCTTTCCCTCCTCCCATTCAAATAAAGGGGAGACCCTCTCTCTTTCACACGTTTTCCTTACAATACAATACAAAGTTGGGGCCAGCAGTGGGAAATAAAATTAGTCCGGAAGTCATTCAACGCTTGTGAAACCGACAGTGACGGCTCAGAGGCACCTACTGGTGAAAGGGAGCCAGGGGCTGGGAAAGGCGGCTCATGAGGGCGTCCCACTCCCCTGCCTCCGAAGCTCTCTCAGCCCAGTTCAGCCGGGAAATTCTGCCTCCAGAACATGAAGCTCCTCTCTCACCTATGACATTTTCAGGATGACGTACAAAGAAGGCCCCTTAAGGGGAAAAAACTGGGTTAGAAAACAGATCCAGTATTTGTATAGACATTTAAACATGAATATATAGATAGCTGGGACCATGGGGAGAACCGAACCACATTTTCCTGGTTTGTGCCCATCCCTAGAGATTATGTCTCTATAGCGACTGCATCATGTGTTCCAAGCAGAAGGTGAGGCATATTAGGTCCACTTCTCCTGTAAGAAGTGGGATTTGCAATTTGATAACATGATTTGACTAGAGTAATTAAATATGGATTTCATGGTCCAGTAAAGGTAAGACGTTTCCAGGTAAAACCATTTTACTGAGATTCTACCACCCAATTTTTTTTAAAAGGCCACTGTCATGTAGTTTTTTATCAGATGAGCACACACACACACACATATATGTGTATATGTGTGTGTGTGTGTACTTCTAATAATATAGAACAACCAACAATATTTCAAAAGCTCTTCAATCAGTTCCCTGGATAACAAAATTTGTATCCAGTGGCCCCTTTGAGAACAACAAAGTTTTATTCAAAGTGTAAGCTTTTGTGTGCGAAGCACACTTCTTCAGACAAATGGAATAAAATCACTTCAAGGGTTACTTACAGGTAAAAAGAGGGTGAGGGCAGCTGTTAAGAGGGGCTACTCAGAGCCAAGATGCATCTGCAGAGATGAAACTGCATCAGGTGGCCAGTAAGATCAATGGATGGTAGCAAATTGGCATGTAAATACAAGAGTAAACGATAAACCTCCTGGAATGCTGTTGATGCTGTTTACCTGGATTTCAGTAAAGCTTTTGACAGCATTCCCCACAACGTTCTGATGGGTAAACTAAAAGGACTGTGGGTTGGGACTCTAGGAGAGTCAGGTGGCCAGGGAACTGGCTGGAGAACCACACTCCGAGAGTAGTCGCCGGTGGCATTTCATCTGAATGGAGGGAGGTGTCCAGTGGGGTGCCACAGGAGCTCGGTTCTGGGCCCGGCACTTTTTAATATTTTTATAAATTATTTGGATGAAGTTATGGAGGGACTACTCATTCAATTTGCAGATGACACCAAATCGGGAGGAACAGAGAACACACCAGAAGATAGAGACAGAATTTTAACACCCTGGAAAAGTGGGTGGATGTGAACAAGATGCAATTTAACAAGCATAAGTGCCGAGTTCTACATCTGGGTAACGAAAATGAGGAATACACATATTGGATGAGGGATACACTTCTGAGTAGCAGTGTGTGTGAACAAGATCTTGGGGTAAGGGTGTAAGTTAAATATGAGCAGCCAGTGTGATATAGCGACAAAAAAGACTAACGCAATCTTGAGGTGTATCAACAGAAGCATAACGTCCACATCACAAGATGTCATAGTTCCACTGTACACTGCATTGGTCAGGCTGCACCTGGAGTATTGTGTGCAGTTCTGGAGGCCTCACTTTAAGAAGGATGTGATCAGAATGGAGCACGTGCAGAGAAGAGCGATGAGGATGATCAGGGGCCTGGAGCCCAAGCCCTATGGGGAAAGGCTGAGGGACTTGGGAATGTTCAGTCTGGAGAAGAGGAGGTTGGGGTGGGGGGACATGACTGCTCTCTTTAAGTATTGGAAGGGCTGTCACTTAAGAGGAGGGCAGGGAGCTGTTCCTGTTGGCAGCAGAGGAGAGGACTCGCAAGAATGGGCTGAGGCAAGGAGTGGTGAGCTGCTGCTAGAAGGTAAGGGGTTTTTTTTTGTCTTTCTCCCTTTGCCTTCCTAGCTGCTGTGTGGGAAGCTGAGAGAGAGTTGGGTTCTTCGTAGCCTGATAGAGAGTGGTTCTGCTTAAGTTCTGTGTGGGACTGTTTGTGTTTTGGGGGTTGTTGGAGGCTGAGTGAGCTGCTGATTGCAAGCCCCGCCCCCTGCTGTGCTGGGCTCTGCCGTGCTTGGCAGGAAGGGGCCTTTTGACCCTCTTAGCCGGCAGGTCTTGCTTGGAGGCCTTGTAAGAACCTGGGAAGAGGGCTGCTGCTGAGTTCTGGAGAGAGAACTGCTGGCAAGGTAGACATTTGGTCAGTCTCAAAGTTTTCAGGGTACATCACCACAACAGGAGTTTACGTCGGACTTTGAGGGAAGTTCTTGGAGGATGTAGAAGAAAGCATTGCTCCTAGATGTCAGTTAACACTGCCATGTTGCTGGAATGTGTGGAGGGAGAAACCTCCTTCCTCTGCCTGCTACGCACAGAGTTTCACTGTCTGGGTATTATCTACTTTCTTGACCTTGGGATGTTCCAGCTGCTGTCGGCTTTTGCTTTTTGCCCGCTTCCTTTCCCCGCGCGTGTGAGCTTTGCTTATTGGCTTCAGCTTGTAAGGGTGTGTGTGTGTTTGTTCCTCGTATAATTCGTTACAAGACATTCCTGACACAAGCAGTACACATGTCATAGTCCTGGTGTACCAATAAACAGAATTCTTCTTATGAAGTGGTGTGTTGTGTGACCCGACTATCGAACCCTGACACTAGGGAGAGAGATAATGAAGGATCTATTCCAGTGACCTGCCAGGGTTGCGCCATGATCCTTTTTCTGCCTTGCCAAGAAATGCATTATATATGCTGCAAGTGCAAGCTTATGGCTGATTTTGCACTTAGAGCTGCCTCGCTGTTGCGCCGCCGTTTGCCCCAGTTTTATTGGTCAATTTCACACCCGAAGATTTCACACCCGAAGCCATGCAGCTGATTTTGACCCGCGGCTTCGCTTGATTGCCTCCGCAGTTTCGTTGATCCTCAAAAAACAGGATCACGAAACTGCAGGGGAAATCGGGCGAAGCCGTGGGTCAAAATCAGCCACACGGCTTCGGGTGTGAAACTGACAATAGAACCGGGGCAAACGGTGGTGCAACAGCAAGGCAGCTCTAGTGCAAAATCAGCCTATAAGAATTCTTGAGGAGAAGGTGGGAGAACTCGAGGCACAAATCTGTACACTGAGGAACATCAGGGAGGGAGAAAGGTTTTTAGAGGTGACGGAAGAGGGGCTCCTGAGAGAACGGCAAGAGCCAGCAGATCCTAAGCAAGAGGAAGGAAGTCACAAGGAACAGGTGGGTGAGTGGAAGAATGTGACTTTGAGAAGTAAGATAATCAGGAAACACTCACAGCCAGTGGAGCTGCAAAACCACCACCAGCCGCTTCTGATAGTGGAAGATCAAAACAGCACACTCTGAGACCGAAAGGATGTAACTGACACACAAACACACAGGCAGAGAAGGAACCAAGCAATCCCACGGAGGAAGAGACGAGTAGTGGTGGTTGGTGACTCAGAAGTTGTGTGCAGACTGGACAAGGAATCTCAAGAGGTTTATTGTTTTCCTGGAGTATGTATTCAAGATGTGACTGAGAGAATTCCAAGACTGGTCAAAACCTCTGACTGGTACCTGCTCCTGCTGATCCATGTGGGAACAAATGATACGCCCCAAAGAAACCTTGAATGGATCTTCCAAGACTACAAGGCTCCGGGCAGGAAGGTGAAAGATCTGGGGGCACAGGTGGTGTTCTCCATTTTACCTGGTGAGGGCCATGGAGCTGGAAAGGAGAACAGGATACTGGAGGTGAATGGCTGGTTATGTAGATAGTGCCATCGAGAGGGATTTGGCTTCCTGGACCATGGTATGTACCTCTGACATGAGGGACTGTTGGCGATGGATGGGGTGCACCTTACAAAGAATGGGAGGAATGTCTTTGCTGGAAGACTTGCGAACCTGATCAGGAGGGCTTTAAACTGAAGCCATCGGGGGTGGGAAGAAAAAGCCTGATGTTGTGCGACATCCTCAACATCCCCAAAGTTCAAGAAAGGAAGGGATCAGAGAATAAATGAACGGGAGAGAGGTGAGTTCAGTAATTTTCAGGTAAATTCAAAGGGACTTATGGTAGGAAAGGTGTCTGTAATCTGAGATGTCTTTATACTAATTCACAGAGTATGGGAAATAAACAGGAGGAACTTGAACTTCAAATAGTGGAAAGTAAGTATGATCTGATAGGTATCACTGA